ACCAGAACTTCAGCCAAGACAGGTAATACATAAGCACGTGTTTCAGTAGATTTTGGTAGATATTGCTATTACAGTAGCTCTTAATAAAGACCTGAAACAGACTGAAATAAGACTAGAACAGAGGACTGAAATGATACATGAGCAACAATTAAAACACCAGCATTACTGTGGCATAGTAACGTGTTTTAATTTCCCTTTACAAATACTTATGTTTTGTTCTAATAGATGTGAGGAGATGTGTTCATTTTGCTTTTTGCCAGTATTAAAATATTTTCCTTGTCATTAGGTAATGGTTTGTCTGTACATGGAAGCAATAGGACCTCCTGGCTCAAAGCTTGTGTTCATGAAGCACGCAAGTCAAGCATTTATATTTGCTATGAGTAATAGAATTAAGTTTACTACCAAAAAAAAAAAGCGTGGTGTCCTTAAAATAGCACTTGCCAACTGCAAGTGCTTACTTGCTTACTGCTCTGAAGATCTAGTAATATGTTTACAACGGTAACTTTATAATCACACGGGCATTTTAGTTTTAGCTAGAGTGATGACAATGCTTGCAAGCGCTGCAAAATTTTCAGCACTAACAAATATCCAGTAGCTTTCATTTCCGGGAAAATAGCAGGAAATGTCCAAAAAGAGTTTCAAAGCGGATTAACAGGCAATGTTCAGACTCGGGTAGATAGCAGGCCGTCTGGGTTACAGTAACACTCAGCACAGCCTGAAAAGGGGCCTTCAGCCTGTCAGAGTCCCATTGCTGGCGTGTTCAAGCTCCTTGGCGACACCGGGTTCCTGTGTGTGATACGTTTGGCACTCCCTTGGTACCAAGAAGATTTAATGAAACATAAAAAAAAACACCCCTTGATTTAATGTCCTGGGAAATAGTTATACCAGAAGGGGTCTAAGCAGCCATAGCTACCTAGCTACAGAGAGGAACAGGACCAGCCCTGGAGCTGAAGGTGGCCCCGGGCCGTGGGTCACCCCAGGGCAGTGGTGTCCCCAGGGGAAGGTGTCTGCAGGCACAGTGTGGGCACAGCCCCACAGCCACCTGCGTTGGAGGGACCAGGCCTGGGGACACTGTGAGCATCAGCCTGGTAAACTGCGACTGCACGGTCGTGCTGGAGCACAGAGGGAAACAATTCCTCTGATCGATTATTATTTAATCTTTTCTGCAGTGAACAACACAACCTAGTCGCATCGCATCCTCCAAACGTCTTCCTTAGAGCCCCCAAATAAGATGGCTTTATAGTGAAAGAAAACAAATCTGAGCAGTGAACCTCGTTAAATAGAAAAAACTAGAAAAATTCCAAGTGGGCTTCCTGAAGATTAGTGTCAACTTCGGCAGAAGCCGGACGGGCGACGGGCGAGAGCCAGCAGGAGCCCTGCCCGGGGGGAGCTGCCGCCGGGGCTGCGGACATCCGACGGCAAGGCGCTGCCTGGCTCCTCCCGGGGGGCTCCCAACGGGGGGGGGCGATTCGCCCCGCCGCCGACCTGCCTCCCGGGGCAGCGGGCGGACGGTCGAGCCCGGCGGCGCCGCGGGCGGACTCGGGGCAGGGGGGGGCACAGCGAGGCCCGGGGACGGGGAGGCGAGGCCCGGGGAATGGGGGGGGGCAAGGCGCAGGGAACCGGGGGGCGAGGCCCGGGGGTGCGGCTGCCGCTGGCGTTCCCGCCCTGTGGGGGCGGCGCCC